ATTATACGATTATCACACAAAAGCAATATGAGACAAAAAACATATTGAAAAAGATCTATTTCAGTCTGGCAAATCATTTCAAATCAACCGTTTCATCACTTAAAACCTGCCAGGATATCAAGTATTCCATGAAATCTGAAAAAGTTGTTTTGTATGGAAAAAGCAAAAATTGATAACAACTGAGAAGAACGAAACGGTTTACTGAAGGCTTAGAGTAGCTGACAACCGTCTGGTTGTTCATTGGATGATCTGTCAAGTGCTGAAGAAATGCTTGTCTATTCATGGGAAATGATTTTTCTGGGAAGAACAAAAGGATAGATGAAAATAATTAGAAGATATGGAGAGTAAAAGCAAAGATAGAAAAACGCCCGTTTGCACTATGAATCAAAAAAGATAGTTATCGGAGAAGAGAGAGAGATCGAGACAGACATTTTCAACCATTCAATGTCTGGAACATACACTCATCGAAACACCATCAGAAAAAATCGATAAGATCAATGAAAGTGCATTGAAGAGATGTGTAACTGTTTTGGAATCAGTATCGAGGACGGAGAATCTCTTAAGGAAACTGAAAAACTCTAATCCTTATCAGCCTTTATCATCATCGTTTCATAAACATTGAAATCCGATCAATAGACCCATTCAGCGTAACAAATGTTATTCATCAGTATTACCGTATACTAAAAAATTCTCTCAGAGTTTAAGCCCGTCTATACATTTCTCATGGAGAATTTTTCTGGCAAAAGCAGATTTCTCTCCACATATAAGTTTATTCTGTTCTATAGTCTTCGAATCCGTCTCAAAGAGCAGTTTTTAATTGCCTCAATTCTCATGAAAATTCTCTATGGTAATAAGTCATATTTGGCCAAAGAAGATGAGATTCATTTAATGAAGACACAGAAGATGAGGAGAAGGGGGATAAAAGGCATTTACATGCTTGGCTTCAGTAAGCTTATTATAACGTGACATTCATCTCGAGAACAAAACTAGAAATAGAGATGGAAAGCGAAAAGAGAATGGAGACAGACACGATGACGATGAAATTTTTCATTAAATATTGCAGAAATGAAATGAAGTTTTGTTACCATTCATCATCTTTGATACGGATAATTGGAGAATAACGAAGAAAAAGGATCAAAGTACATTTGAAAAGTGAAGGTTTAAGATAAAATCAAGACAAACCCTCGCTTTTATGAACACTTCGCAACACTGTTTCATTTCTTTTCTATTTTATACTTTTTCATTTTCGTCTTCTTCTTCTTCTTCATCTGTGTCGTATATAATATAATGGAACAAAAAAAAATTCTTTTTTGTTTCATAACATATCATTGAATCTGATATGAAATAGATTCAAATGCTATTCCTTTTGTTTTGTTTTTCTTCTTCTTCTCCTCCTTCGTCCTCTTTCTTTCTTTCTTTCAACAAAACTAAACATCTGTTTTAGCCTCCTCAAATGTCTTTGCTTCTTTCTCTTTAAAATACCATTCAAAGGAACTTTCTTCTTAAGGACTGTATGCACATTCACTCACTCTCAACTATTCATTCCTATCTTGACACCCACTCTATGAGTGTGAGTATTTGTATGTATGTATGTCTGGGTAGAGTTTCTTCAAATTGTCAATCTATCAGATTCCTTTTCAGAATGCACTTTATTCTGTGTCGAATTCCGACAGCACACGCTCTCAATAGACGCAGGCAAGACATAATCCTTCCTGCTTTTCTTACTGGTTCTCAACCGTTGTTATAGGTGACTAGCAGTTAATATCTAATATTCAAATTACGTATAAGAAAGGCTCTTATTAGCTGCATAAGACGTGAGTTGTTTTCGATTTCGGTTATTCACTGATTGACTTATCTTCTAGAATCAATGATGTAAGTCTTCAAGATGATGAACAAACAAGCATCATGTTACTGATTCAAGGAGAAAACATTCATTTGACGCTCTCGTATAGACTGTTATGCAGTTAGTTGGCTACTGTATGCTATTGACTGCCAATGTTCTTTGGAATGAGACAAACTTGACGCTATTGCCAGCTGATAGGTCATGTTGCAGACTTGAAAACTCTAAAGCAGTTTAGTCGACCGTTTTATACCCACAACTATTGTTTCACAAGCTAGATAGTATTCTCTAAATGTAGATCCTTTTTAAGTGAATGAATTTCGATCCCTCTTAGACGCCTTTGAATATTCTTACATCTTTAACTCTCATATGAGTTTTCTTACAGATTTTGCTTATTCCATTATTATCAGAGTGCTTCAGAACTATGAGATGAGCCTCAAAACGAATGTCTTTTAGCACTTCATTGCTGGAACCCATTTCTCTTTATTGTAGCTAAGCTAATGCTTTTACGCTGTGAAAAAGGCTCTAATGCAGCAAATTTCATTTATTACTGCAGCACATGATCGTAAAATTATGAAGAAAAAATGTCGATTTGTCATTACTGCGTGTGCGATTAGATGGTCTAACTCACACGCTCAAACCGATTCTGTTTGTAAAACCTCCAATAAGCTGGCCGGAAAGGTTCTTTTTCTCATTATAGATCCCGTGGGAACAGTCACCTGCGAAAGACTATCGACGGCCGCATATAATAACAGTAGCTAACGCATTTGCCGTCACTAGCTACTGAACGTATGTATATGGCGATTTTACATAGAGGTAGGCTGAGAAGCTTCCTATTCTGTTTCAGAGCTTCGTGCATGCGTCGTAATGGTTATCTGAACCATCTGTAAAAAAAAGTCTTGTACGTACATGGAAGCAAAAGCATACGTTCTGCTGCTCTTCACATCGTTGCATTACCGAACTATAAAATTGTTCAGCAATGCACGTAGGTTTGTAAATCAATAAGTCGCACTCATCAGTTTGTTTGGCTATATCCGAAACTATAAATGCGAAATTCCTGCTGAGCCTCACAAAAAGCGAATCTGAAGATGCTACATAGGAAAATCAAGTGGTTGTCTCCTTCTGCACATTACTTCTACTGAGCAGTGCAAACTGGGAGGTTAACTATTTAATTTTTCCTTCAATGCCACCCATTTTGTTTCAGAGCCAGTACACACATCTGTCCTCAAAAAAACGGTTGGCACAAAATGGTAGTATGATGTCAGGTCAGAAAAGAGCGATCCTTGCCCTTGCCCTACTTATGATATACTTTTCAGATGCTTGTGAGATTTTTTTATTCATAGAGGAGGATGCTAAATCTTCAAAAGTAGCGCCGTGCAAGAGCGCTGGTGTAAGAGCCTTACAAAGCTTACAAAGCCAATGAGTTAACTTTAAATTTCTATAATAATTTATCTTATCAATTTATACAATTAAGATATTGTTAGTTAGTCTTTTATGAACTACCGTACTAGAATGCATGCATGCCACAAACGTTGGACGAATCACAACAAGCTTCGTCTGTCAGCGCAGCATGCGTTAGCACATTGTTGGTGCCAAGTGTAGCCACACGTTCGGGTTGCATAAATTAATATTTATTAGTTTATTTTATGATTCTTCCTATTTTAGTTAATTTGAATGACTCGTTCGTTAAAACAATTACGAACAATATTTTAAACTCACAGAAAACGAATTACAACAACATTCGCTCTTCCACGCCACGTTGAACAACATTGTCTGAGCAGTGCAGCAATTGTAGAGGTTTGTATTTTTATATTTATACATAAGTAAATAATATTTGATGATTAATAATCATTAAATATATTAATTATACAAATTTTAGATGAAAAAATAAAGTTATAACTTTGAATAGAATTTTTGCTAAAAAACACATTACAACCTTCATTTCTAATCCATATCTTATTTCATTTACTTTTTCATCTATTTATCATATGTTTCATCATATACTTATCAGAATATGAAAGTATAAAAATGTTTTTTTTGGATAAGTTTGATTTCATTTTTTTGAAAAAACGAAAAAGGTTATTGATTTTGCTACCTGCAGCATGCGGTATAGAGCCCTTGGATTCAAAAGCAACTTCCTATGAACTATCTCTTTGTTATCTCATTAATTATTCATAAATCCTATTTTAAATTCTTTATCGTTTCCTAAATACAATATTCATATTTATTTCTCAGAAAAATCAATTTCAATGTTTTCAACATTGATTTCTCTCTTTTGCATTCATTTTTGTTTTTATTTCATTGTGTATGTCCTAATGAGAAAGTTATTGATTCCGTTACCTTTGGGGATAAGAAGCGACATTCAACGTTCGGGATGAAGAGAGGGGCATTTCGAAAAGCGAACGAGCGCTTATTGCATATGAACGCCGTTCGTTATAGAACATTTCCTTCTTTAGTATTTTCAAAGTTTGCTGGAGGTTTGCGATGACCCATCATGCAATGACGAAAAATTTTTTTTCGCAGTACTGATGATAAATCAATAGTCGATCAAAAAAAAGAAAAAATAATTGATCTTTCTTAAAAACAAAATTTGCATAACATAACTCTCAAAAACGAACTTTTTTGATTTTTTTGATATACCCCATCTTAATATGCTATTTATTGAGTTTTCTGATGTTTCCTCATTTCTGCATGCAATGTTGGACTAATCACAACAAGCTCCGGCTATCTGCGAAATGGGCGCTAGCCCATTGTTAGTTCCGAGTCTGGCCACACGTTCACGCTGCATAAATTAATTCGTTTTACAAACTGTTTTTTTTTTCTTCAGATAATCATGATTGAATTTTGGTGTTAAAAAAAGCAAAGCAAATTTATATGTTCAAAAAAAATTAAAAAATCAGGCAACTTAAAACAACATTCGTCTATGAACGCCACGTCAAGTAACAATTCAAGCGGCGAGCGCATAGTAACAATTCAAGCAACGAGCGCATCTTTTTTTTTTTAATCCAAAAATTAACAAACTATATTCTATTTTCTGGTGTTTCGATTTTTAACGTTTATAATTGAAAGTTATTACTTATTCAAATTTTTTATTTCAGATAATCATAAACAACCCGCCGACGTGCATTTTTAGGATCAATTATAGGCAACAAGAAAAAATATGTCCTCAGGTAGTTAAACTAATATGAGATATAATCAATTTATATTTACAGATAACAGAGAGCAGTTAAGGACACCTATTCTAGTTGTGCCTGAAGCACAACAAGGTTCAGCTGATGCAGAGCATGAGCTAGGGCCCCTACAATTAGGAGCTGTTCAAATATTAAACAGCGAGAATGTAGGAAAAAAATTAGGTTTTAATGGTAATGAATTGAAAGTGAATAAAATTTTACCAAGTTTCTTACTTAAGCAGAAAATCTTGCCAGCACTAGCTCCAGTGTGACGTGCGAACAGTCCAGAGCTTCTGCACGTAAAAGAAAGCAGTCAAGGCCCCTGGATTTCTCAGATGGAGGTATGTTGACTCTTCATATTAAGTGTGGCTATTGTACTACAGATGATCAAATGGAGGAATCTTCAGCAGATACATGTTGGGCTGAAGATGGCACAGATATGGATGAAGGTGCCAAACATTCGCAAAATTTCAAAAAAAAATCTATAATTATAGAAGACTCACTTCCTCCACAATTGGCCAGGCTATTTCGCACACTGGACAAACTCGACGCAGAAGAGAATCCTGTAGTTGTTGAGCAACGTGAGTGTTCTCATTTCTCAGGTAGTCTTTGTTCTAACTCATAATGTATACAGTATATTGCAGATGAGTCTGCTAGCCAAAGAAAAAAGCTTGATTTTGAAGATGATGAAGACTCCGATGATGAATACGAAGAATCGGATGATGAAGATGAACGAGTTCTTGAAAAGGAAAGTACAGCTGGGGAGGTCAAACCAGCTGCGATTGAGCAGCGTAAGCATTCTCGTTCTGAATCATCTGGTGATTTTTATGTTGATTCCAGGAAATTTGCTTGATTTCGAAGATGATGATTCGAATGATGAAGACGGAGAAGCTAGCGATGGTCACGAAGAAATGAATCATGGAGAGAAAAATACGAACGAGTTCGTTAAACCTATGAAAACTGATTACAACAGAAATCTTTTCAGAAATGATGACCAGAACATTGAAAAGAATCCTGAGCCTATCCGTCCGGTTGTCGAAAGAAAATTTAGAGGTAAATATTCTCAGAGGGAACATCAGCAGTTCTAGAGAACTGAACAGAAGTTGAAACACGTAACATACCACTCTTTAGGCAAAGATCTTTCGTTAATGACAATAACTCGGTTAGTAACGAGTTCAGATGAGGATAGTAACGATGGAGATGGTAACTTTTTCGAAAAACTTTAATAGACGTATTTGATTTTCAAGAAGATGAAGATCGGAATTATGAAAAGAGCTGGGAGAATGAAGAACAGAACTTCCCATATGTTCAGCTGCGTACGATTTTCTCCATATATTTCATCATTAACTAATCAACTTGCAGAGAGTGAACGATCTGAACGCTTGCTCAATAGAAAAAGAAAAGCCTGTGGATGGGAACCCTGTGGTACTTCGAAAGTTCCTAGGAGAGTGAGAACCGCTAAGAGTTCGAAAAAATCTTCATCAGAAGATTATTCGGAACCCTCCACCTCAGATGGTAGTACTGTAATTTCGATTTATATCAACGTCCTAACTGTTTACAGCTGACCGATGTAGCGAAATCGCTGGTTCAGAGAGAGGTTCATCTGATTTGAGCGTCGAGCAACCTTTCCTCGAAGAGCCTTCTCTCGACAGGCCTGAAATCAGGGATTCTGAATGTCGCTGGATGTGAGAACAGAGAACATATAAAATTTTAACAGCTGTATTCAAGGCTGGAACTGGATGACGACTCTTTGAGAGAAGTCCTGGAGTTCTTTCCAAGCTCTCCTTCTCAGAAGTCCTGTGTCATCAAGCATCTGGACACCTCAAGTTACGATCGCTTGCTCAGCGTTCGTAACACACTTAATCCGGACTATGAAATGGCCATAACATATGAGCTTCTAAGGCTCAAACAAGCAACAAGATTGCTTGTTTTAGAGGCTGTTGTCAGCAACTTCCTCTTTTATTCAACAATAAAAGACGTGAGTGTTTTTTCAAAAAATTTTCAAAAAGTTTTATATTTTCAGGTAGACCGTGGCTTTACCGAGACATGGAACAAGATGCTGAAAGCTTCTCAACTGATTAAGTGCGCCAAGAGAGGAGCAAGAGGGGCTTTTCAATATAAGATAAACCGGAAAAAAATTAAAAAGAGCACGAAAAAATATTTATAGATTATAATATTTTTTTAACCATTTCATATGTATTATAATATATCGATGATTCATAATTATTTCCTATATAGTTGTTTTTGTAATTCCATATCCTTTCACACAACGGGTTTGTAAATATATATGTACTGGTTCAGAGATTCTTCTACGAAGTATGTACCCAGTTAGCAGTTTTTAAATTTATGACATTAATTTTTCATATGAATCGATTATAGTAAGCATTAACTGTATGTAACCAATTTTGCTACAATAATCCATATTTTGTTAAACATGTAACGAAATTTTTTATTAGTGATCGCCATTCCGAAATATCAATTCTAAATCTCTATTAGGTTTTAAAATTTGTAATATGTACAAATTTAAATTGTAGATATGTATGTTCATATGTGTATATAAGGATGTATTCAAAAAAATCATCTCATTACTTTTCTTTCTCTCTCTCTGTCATTCAAACAAATCTTACACACGTTAAAAAAACACTGATCACAGTAAGGTTTTTTTCATAGTGAACAAGATCTAGAAACTCTTTTTGAATGTAGACCGCGTTTGGGAGCCTAAGCCTAATCCTTAGCCTGAGCCTAAATCTGAACCTAAAGCTAATGTACGCGGAAACATTAAAATCGCTGTACGCAAGGCATACGCAACGCGCATGCAATGCATACTTAGCGTTCTTATTGCTTGTGACGTCATGTACATTTTCATTATTTTCTTTTACTTTGCATCATTTCCATCAAAAAACTGTTTTTAATTGATTTGTGTTTGAGAATGATCCGATTAAAAATAACATTGCTTTATGGAGAGGAACCACACAAAACCTATACGATCCAGACACATCAAACCGTATTCTTCTTGCTTACCCAACATACTTTTTCATGTTTCGACTTCAGGCATCTTATGCTAGTTTACAGCAGGAAATTAAAAATTCACTTCATATTCATCCTCGTTATCAACAAATATACTTTCGTGGTGAGGAACTGACAGTAGTGGAACACCCTTTTCAATCTGCTGAGGATGATGAAGAAATAACCATTGTGAGTCTTCAGCTTACTGTATTAATGGAAGTTAAAATCTTCTCCAATCTTTGAGAAGTAATAGAAATCTACAAACCAGTCTAGCACTTTAACCGCAATACTTCTTCAGAGCTTCGTAGTTTGATTCGAGATTTTTTTTCAGAAACATTCTCTTTACAATCATTGGTTAGCGTTCGAGCAACATTCTCAGAACGCAAGAGAAGCGGCACTGTCTAATACGGCGGTTGGAGAACACGCTAGTTTGGCTTTTTCTGAATATCGCTACCTGAATAGTTCACAATATTTTTTTTTTACCTTTCCCCATTTGAGTTCATCTGTAAATAGTTTTCTCGCTACGTTCCACTTGTATGAGGACAGCGAGTTCGAGCCCATTACACTTGCTTCGAAAGCATATTTCTTAACTCTTTATGGTGACGATCCTGTTTGTCCAAAGCTCAGCTTCAAATGGGAAAGAAGGAAATCTCGAAAAATGATAAATTGGGTCAGTTGGAGCCAACAGGATCTTTTGAGTGGAACTGTTGCAGGGAGAGAGCACACTTCGATGCCACGTATATCGAGAGGAAACATTGTTGAAGATTTATCACGTGAGAACTCATAGGAAACTGGCACAACAACACTACAGTGGAAACCATGATCTTCGGAAGTTATTCATGTATAAATTACTTGAGATTCTTGGATTAGGACCGAAAGTTCATTTTTACCGGAACTCGGGGCAGCATTTTGGCTTTTACACTGCTAGCGAAAGAGGTGGTTATATTAAGCCAATAGTTAACATATCACGAATACATTTAAGTTCCCGATTACGAACCCATAAGGTTCCGTTCAGATGCAACAACGAAAATCTCTCCATTGTATTATCCAGTTAGATTGCTATGCTGTTGCTTTTATTTGAGAGATTTGTTAAACGACGACAGAAACTCTGGTGTTGACAGTGATGGACGGCTAAAAATAGTACACTTCGGGGTAATTTTTGGGAATTTTTTTGAATGATAATAACGTTTATGATTCAGATGCGTTCTCATACACATGCTACAGAACGGCAAGCCGTCAATTATTGTAGTTATAAGGGAAAGAAAAGTCGAAATGGTATAGAATGTTTTTCGCAGTGGAATCTTCAGCGTTGTATAGATATGGCTGATAAGGCAATTGAAAACGAGAAAAACCTTTTTCAAAGGTATTCCATCACTTTTGAAGAGAACCGGGATTATGATCAATACTTGACTAAGATCAAGAAAAATGTTCAATACATCACGGTTCATTGCCATAAATTAGAGTCCGAAGGGACATTATTTGCTCTTTGTCTCCGTCTAGTTGATCCTAATCAAATTCCGTTCCGTTTATAACACAAATTATTGTTCTCATAATTTCAGCGGAAATAACTTTTTAGAGATTCACCTCTTTTGAACTTTCGGCTGAACGATTTCTCGTCGTTCTGTTGGGAACGTAATAGTTCTTGCTTTTGACGACTCGAATTTCGTGTTCACTACAACTTCCCATTGTTCTAATAATTCATCAAAAACACAATACTGATGTTTACCTTACCCATATGCGTTCGTCTTAATTTGGCGATAATTCTTCGATAAGTTTACATTTTTTGTAATTTCTTGATTTGTTTTGAATAATAAATAATTTGTGTTTATCCTTATGTAACCTCTTTTACTTGGAAAAAATTTTTCTCTCACGTTCGTGTTTGCTCTTGGTGTTTATGAGTTAGACCCCATTCCGTACCGCTACTCGTACTCGCTACTTGGAGTCTACTCCAGTCCTTTGGATATCTATTGTAATGATCGATACTCTGAGACTTACGAGCGTTAAGATCTATAATTAGATCTTACGGAACGGTAGACCGGTGCAATTCATAACTGAAACAAAAATGGTATGAAAATCGCCATTAGAAATATTTTGAATCAAAATGTTTTTGGAACAACGTAGTACAAAGCATATCCACGAATTTTTACTCAATATGAAACACGCCTTAACCTTATAAATTTTTTATTTTACTTCTTTCATTGTTTTTCCAAAAATTAATATTTCAAATTGGATTTTACACTTATCGGAACAGATTATTTTGTTCATTTCATATATTTTGCAGTTATTTTTTGTTCTCCTTTCTGATAAACAAAATACGATTTATAAAGTATGCATATACTTCCGTTTGTATTAGGTTTCTCCCTTTCCTCTGATAGTAACCAAACACCAATTTTCTTCATGAGTTTTAGTGAAAATTTCTGTGTTAGTTTCTAAAGTGCATTCCTATCTGTTCGCTTCGTCAAACTGAATCATCACTTACTGCGCTCTTTCGTTCACTGCAACGATATTGATTGTAAAGAATTGGCTGTTTGCCAGCGCCGCATACCCGCGCGGGTCCCGTCACGATTTCAAACGACAGGCGGTACACATACAGGCAACTCAATTCCTTCATACTGCTTTTCGTCTCTTTAAAGCTTAACTTGAATATAATGTGTTTACTTATTTTTTTCAAATGTTTCCCTTCATAAAAATTATATTTCAATTTGTTTTTTCAGGTGAAATGGCCACTCGCAAGATGAACTTCATTGAGAAGCAGGCTAACCTGTGGGGAGCCATCTATCGCCATCAGGCTGCTCAATTCCCCCGTCGTTTTGCTATTCTCAAGGTGTAAATGCATCAAAATAAATTATAATGATTAAAGTTTATAGGCCGTAGCCAGACACGAACTTGCTCCACCTAAATCTGCCGACTGGCCAATCATCAAGGCTGAGTGGAAAAAAGTCACTCAATATATTGCTGGCAAGCAATACAACACTCTCTCTGTTAGAGTAAGATTACACAGCTTCCAAGACATCAATTGATAATCTTTTTTTTCAGGAAGCTCTTGTTTACAGTGCTGTCGCTTTGGAGATTGTTTTCTGGTTCTTCATCGGTGAGATGGTTGGTCGTCGTTACATATTCGGATACTTGGTATGTAAAATAAGTTTTATGAGCAAAAAATATATCTGTTTCAGGTTCCATCTGACTTTGTCTCCAAGGATACAAAGAAGAAGGTTGCCGAACAAGTAGAAGAAGACAAGAAGGCTCTTTGAGACCCTGTTAGTCTTACTAGAGTAGTAATAAACGTTGAAAAAGCAGTAGTCGCTCCCATTCATAGCAAACACACAACACATATTCTCATAAAAACGAATAAAAAACAATTTATTTTAACATAATGTGCGTTTTGTAGAACAGTGTGCAAAAGTATCCGTTATAAGAAAAATTTTTATGTACATCTATAAGCAATTGCGTGAGTGAGAAATTATTCTGTGAGTTATGCTTCTCCCATTTTTATGCTAATTGATACTTTATGACTATTTGAGCATTATATACTATTGAGGGTTACCTTGCAGAGGTGCCATCTCATGATTACCATTTGGTGTCGATTGAGACTGAGTACTAATACATGATGGTGTGTTCTTATCCTTATTCAGCATTACAACATATAGTAAAATTGCTATCACATAGAAAGCAAATGAAGCCCAGTACCATCCAATCGCTTTACCAATTTCTACCTTAAATAGATGGAATACTAGAAAATGAGTTACACTTTTCGCTTACGTTATATGATTCAGATGTGAACTCGAATAGATCATCTGCTTTGAAATGAATGTAATATGTCAGAGCAAGAACCCATATATAACACAGTGCTGTAAGATATTATGTATCAGTCATTTCAGATAAGCACGCAATCACCTCCTACTACGAGAAAAGAAACGATTACTACTTGTGTTTTGAAAATTTCCTCTAATGATGATTTCATACAAAGTTCTGATATGATGCAGGCAATAATACAAACTAAAACAAAAGCTGGCGGTGCCCATTTAATGCGATTCAACAACAAGAGTGCTGAAAACTAATTTGGATTCGATGAGTTTGAACTGACAGTACTTGAACTTGGAGTAGGGTCAACAGGAAATTCGTTTCGGAACTTTTCAGGTTCACTCCAAGGTGCACATTCGATTTTTGCTTCTGTATTCCCAACAATGCAGTTATCATTCAACCCTATCTGGAATGGTAATTATCTTAAAAACAAGCTACTAATTGATTATAAGCTCTTTCAATCGAATTATAAATGTTTTGAGTTCTGTTTAAAGCACCACACCTGAAACGTAGCATTCTCAGTTTTAATAACAAGCCATCCATTGTTAGTTAGTCCAAATATGCAAAAGAGAAGTGAAACCACATACAAGATGAATATGGAGACCTTCAAACAACATGTCGCACAATTCATCTTAGAAGTTATAGTTCAGACTGAAATATACAAGAATACCAAGTGCAATAGTATGCGAAATATCATAAAATTAGGTCTAATTCCTAATATATATTTGCAAAATAGCTTTATTGCTATAATAATAGATTGCTCTCGTGTTGTTTTGAGTCTTAAAACTGATTTGATGCTTTGAGTGCTTTCATATCAAATGATAGCGTTATGTAATGTTCGTTTGAACCAGTCGATGAATGAATGTCTTAACAGCTATTCGATAGTACTCAAAGAATGAGTAATTGCCTCTAATGCTAACATAAAGGAAATATACAAAATTAAATCTGGAAGAGAGAAAGAAAATCAATGTTAGCTTTCCGGCACTATTACAACTCCGCCCTAAATCTTGCACCAACTATATTTCTGACTTATGGGACTCTATTGAAGAAGAATAGAGAATGTACATGATGCGCAGAAAAGAGAGATTATTTACATTATCGGAGAGCAGAGCAAAAACTTAATCAATACAGTTTGCAGTCTAACGAGCTGCCAATATGAAAAGATGGCCAACTACTTCAGCTCTCAATTGATGAATGACAAGCGCTAGCAATCGTTATTCAAATTCGAGCTTTAAGCTAGCCATAAAGGATTTTGAGATTGCCGCTTAGCGCATAGCATGATAGAATTAACTGTAAGTGAATATAAAGATAAAAACCAGCTGATTACATTCACAACCCATCTTGATAGAATTTGAAAAGAAAGTTCAAAGTGAGTTTGAGTGTTGCCAAATCTGTTTAAACAGAAAAGACATGGTCTGCACATAATTAGATTAGCAGTAATTGTGTGAAATTATTTTCTGAATGAAAGACGTATCTCAATGTATTACAATGATACTATGAGAGATCTGCAGTCTGTCACTTCATTCTAAGAATGAACAGGTTAATCAGCTTATAAATTATATCATCAAATGAAATTATATTTCAAGTAAATACATTTCATCATGAAACTCTTTGAAAGCATTGGTTTGGGCAGAGTTGCATAGAGCAATCGATCTTCTATCTAATAGATTTAACATATACTATTTAACTCATTTCTCCAATTGTACCCTTGAGATAGTAATCTTTAATTTTTAGGCATCCCTTAGACATTGTGAAAATGATGGGTAGTCGTCTTAGAAGGTCAAGAACACCACTTTTTGCTTTCTAGTCTTCCATTTAGTATATGTTTTCCTAAGCGCTCTCCTTCACCTACTTTATACATTCCATGTATTTAGAGTTTCAGTGACTTGTGTGACCTTAATACGCGACCTCTTTTCGCCATTCTCTTCATTTTTAGCATCTGTCGAGAAAATGAAAATCGCATGTAGTCGTTTGGTTGCTAACTGAATGTCATGTGAGGATTAGTTATAGCTCACGAAAGCTCCAATTTACTCATAATTAGTCAAAATGGGAAAGCGGCAGGTGTTCAAGATGATAGAAGTATGACGAAACGGATTTATCTGACTATACATATGGGAATATACATATATAAATATGTTCATGAAATGAAAGATATATATGAAACATTCACAGCATCCTAATATGGATTGGAAATGTTGAGAATGAAAGCGAAGTCTTTCTTACCTAAGACCACGAGGGTGAGAATTCAAAAGGAACATGTATTGAAACGAAACAATGCAACAGTCTTCAGTCAGCCATCTTTCATCCGCATAATAGCTTTGCTAACCAACAACCTATTGTAAAGCTTGTGTGACGCCAAATCGCTGAATCGATAGATGAACAAGTTATTTTTAGGAAAAGATGAGTTATCGTCTGGTAATCTTCATAAGTAATTCAACAACTGCCCTTTGCTTTGTCTCAAGTTCATGTTGTAACAACAGAAATGGAACAGGTTCATAAACTTCAAACATACTAGTCCACCCCTTTAACAGATAATTCCAATTCTGTACAATTTCCTTGCTCCATATAATTGATTGTGCGAACAGATAAAAGTTGATGATGGATGACCGAAGTATATAGGTTACATACTTGGCCGCTATTGTATCTCTTCTAGTTTCTCTTTTGTCTCCTATCGTAAGTACTCTTTATTTCCATTTTTGTGACCTCAGCTGGTTATATCCATTTCTTTTCGGTTCTCATAGAGGTCGTTCGACCATTACGATTGAGAACGCCATACACATCGTGACTGCCTTTCGACGGACTCGCACTCATAACTACTCGTCTCTAAAACGCAGCAGTGGTCAACATGTTCTCGAAGCTGTTGATTCTTTTGCTAGCCTGCATAGCCCAAGCTGTAAGTTGTTTACTAAATATCTTTTTCTTATCATATTGTAGAGCGCCCAAGACAGATTTGAACTTGGAAAGTTCAGTAATGTTGCTGAGAGCATTTTGGAAAGAAGAGGATATGCTCCAAAACCAACTGTTCCTCCAGAGTACAGAAAGTTCTTCGAACTTGATGGACATGCTCGCGAATTGGTTGACAGTTTGCTAGGTCCTCGCCCAGGTGGATTGTTCCCAGAAAAGACTTATGAAATCGGATCATCTTCCTCTTCATCTGGCTCTGGATCTGGAACTCATCAAATTTCCAACCTCGAGAGAACTCTCGAATCTTTCTTCACCGCTCCAGAAAACTCTGGTCCCGCTTTCCCAGGTAGCTTCGGTGGTAACGGAGGAGGATTTTCGTTAATCAACGACAATAAGAATCTTGCTCAGTTCGGAAGCTCTATTAGACGTGCTCCTCAGGTATGAAATCTTGTGCTGTGTTGTATTCAACAACTGTTTAAGAAAGAAGCATCTACTGAAGTTGACGATGAGTCTGAAGGATCTGGAGAAAGCGCTGGAAGCTCAATTGCTGGTATTCCAAAAGTATAAACATACATACTAAACATGTTACAAAAATTGAGTTAAGGTTTTCCCAAAAATCCCTCTCTCTCCATTCCTCAGCCAAAACAAACCAGAGCCAAAACCAGAAATCCCAATCATGACTAATGCTGATGCTGAAATTCCAGTCATCGCCACCAACCCAGAGGTACAGGATCTCGAAGTTAGTCAGTCAACTAAGACTTGATGTTATAGGTACCAGAAGGAGGTGTCTTACCTACCAGTGACATCCGCAGAGCTCCTCAAAACTTGATGACAGCCCCAGCCACTCCTGAAGACGAGGAACCTGAAGAGGTTTTCTATTAATGCATCTTGTTTTTTTTTTTAAAACTTCCGTTTTAAGGATCTTGCTGACCGTGCTAATAGCTCTGGGGGATTAATTGGAACTATTTTCAAGTTGATCGGTATGACTTCTAAGAACAATACTGCTGCTGCTGTCAACCCTGATGACAAGAATGCTTTGGGAAGAGCAGTTTCAAACTTGATCGGAGGAGAAGACTCACCACTTCCTGCTAAGGGAATGATCTCTAATGTTCTCTACAATGCTTTAACCGCTCCAGCTCAAGTGAGTGGAAACAAAGAAAATGTCAGTAAAATTTTCTAACTTTAGAACTCTACCTCTGAGAAGAACAATGGAACTCTTGTTTTAACCGATGCTCAATCTGCTGCCATCGGAGAGAACCTTGAAATGGTCAAGAATCTCATTATTCAACCATCTTCTCCATTGTGCACATCCAAGCCCGAGCCAGTTGATTTTGTTTTGGACTCCATGATGGGACAATGGTACCAAGTAGTATACAGTCCTCCTCTCTCCAGCGGACCATGCTCAATGGTCGGATACAAGAAGCTCTCAAGCGTCAATGATGGAGGAGTTGGATCAATCTTTGAGATCTTCGAATACACAACCGATGGATCTCAATATGCTAAACCAAAAATTTCATCTGGATATGCTATCATCAAATCTCCAGGAGAACTTATCTTCAGAACCACCAACAATCAAGATGATGTTTTAGGTAGAGTAAAAATTAACTCAGCGAATAGCTGACTTTGTAATTTCAGTTCATGTAGTTCATATCGGACCAGTCAACAGCGCCAACGAGTATGAATACGTTGTAATGTCAACTAACTGCAACTATCCAATCTACGTATTTGCCAGAGATCCTATCACTTACAAGCAGGTTCGATTCATTTTCTCAATTATATGAGCAAACCATAACTGCTGTCGTGCCTTCTACCCAATTCATAAATCAAATAATGAAATTATCTATGAGAAACGAATACTTACTCTTATGAATTTCAGAAATATGAGGATCGTGTCAACAGATATTTGGAATCTGCTAATCTTGTCAATGGAATCTCACGCTTGTTCAACATTGTTGCCCCGGTAGAAACTTCAATGTGTTCATTCCCACCATCTCTTTTCAACATGGCTCATTAAGAACGAAACGGTTATTCCATCAAATTTGTTCTCAATGTTTCCCCATGCCTTAGTGATACTTAATAATAGCTGTAATAAGTCCTAATAATTGTTTCAATAATAATAATAAAAAAATGAATAATAAACTTGTTGTATGTTTGAAATATGAAAACAAGAAAAGGCTCTTGAGACTGTCCTCATCTCACGGGTTTCACAACTTGACATAGTTGGCGTTTTAGTATTAGGTCATGGTTCATCATGATAATAGCCATATCCCATATTCATTGTTATCAATAGAGGTCAGTCATATCTCATAATTCAAAGTAATACTTAGAATGACCTTCAGAATCAGTAATTAGGTGAAGATGACTATTCACACGATGATAAAATAGGAACAAAAGTGTATCACTGATCGCTCTTGACCTTTCTATCATCAAATCATCTTTCATCATTGTAAGCTATGAATCCTAAAACTGAGAAAACCAGTTACATGAGAGATACCTAGAACTTCCATTTAGAAGAATGAGACTGATTGAGACAATTATGTTTTCGTGTTCTCCATTAGCCGTTGTAATTTTCATGCGAATATAGCAAATGATCTTTTTTTTGTGTTAAAGATAGGTGTGTTTAACCTAGAAAACCAACAGACTCAAACAATGTCATCTAGCATGTGTCATGCCTGAATGATAGTTTGTCATGATGGTAAGTAGGACAGTCTGGATGTCAACATTCTCCGACCAAAAGAAGATGAGAGAATAAATTAGGTGAAAATGACAAAAGAATCGCATTTTCGATCTAATGCGAAAGATAAATGTTACACTAGATGTATAAAGAAGAAAAGAAATTTCGAAACAGCAAAATACAATGATGAATGAATAGAGATGTAGGCTGCACAAATAAAGTCATGGATTTGAGAGTTTTAGACAGGAAGAAATACAGAAATATACAATAACTTTTCTATTCCATTAATGGATGTGAGAGAGAAAGATGGGTGGAGTAATTTTATAGAATCCTCTATGTAGGTTGAATCATTTCATAGTCCAATCAACAGTCAATCACACATCCATACAGACACTGCGTACACATTCTAGCTCTGACTAGCATTTGACTGTCTTTCTATTAATCCACTTCAAATGTTCTTCTTTTCTTTTTTTTTCATTCTTTCATCCTATCTCTTATAGAAACATGACAAAATGGCTTTATCTTGTAGCTTTAATAGCTATAGCCTATGCTGCTCCTGATCCATCTACTTTCGAGAAGCAAGTTGCAGGAGCTTCTGTTACAGTAATACTAACTGTCTCATAAATACTCATCACGAAACTTTAGAATCCAGCTGATCAAGAGAAAGCCAAGCAAGAACTAGCAAAATTCAGAGAAGTAGCTGAAGGAATCTTAGAAAGGCTAGGAATTCCAGAAGAAGGCAGAGAGCTGAGAAGAGCTCCAAGCACCGGATTCGGAGTAAGCTTATTATTCTCATTTTATCATCGTCTATTATAATTCAGAGCGAGGATCTCAACTCTATTATCAATGATAATGGAGCTAACAGAGTTGATCTCCAAGGAATCGCTTCTGGACAAATCGCTGGATTGGCTCCAATTCCAGTACCTGGATTCCCAGGACCACAAGACGTTCCAGCCATTCCAGGAGTTAACACTATCCCAGGATTGAGCAATTTTAACTATCTTGTAAGAATGGAAATCATCTTAAAGTTTGGAAGATATCATTTTTAGATTGGACAACTTGTTCCTCAAATTATCCCTCCAGCAAACACACTCCTAGGATCTTCTATCAGCAGAATCTTGCCAAAGGAATCAGCTAAAAACTTGGCCAAGGATGTTTTCAGGTACACTAACCTGATCTCCTAATTATAATAGTTTATTTAAGAGCCGTTCACCCAGCTGCAGAGAATGTTGATACTGCCCGCATGATGGGAAGATGGTTCCAAGTTATAACTTCTCCTCATGTCATTAAGGAGGCTTGTGCCATTACTCACTGTAATTACTTGAAAATCTAAATCAAAATTCAACAAATTCTTACAGTTGGAGCCCTCACAAACAGCAGCTACTCTGCCGCCTTCACTATTCTTAAGTTCTACAGAGAAGGAAATCCAAACGGCCCACCAAGATACTCTCTTGGTTATGGATTCAAATCTGGAGAAACTGGACAATTCGTCTTGCACAGCAGCAACTCCCCAGACGCTGAACCATGTAACAGTTATCTCTTCACTAGACAGTTAACATCTACTATTTAGTCTGGGTTATCAAGAAAGGACCACTCAATGAGTACAATCAGTATGATTACGCCGTCATCTCAACATGGGTTAGATTCCCAGTCTTCGTTATTGCTAGAGATCCTCAACGTTTCCGTGAGAAGCACATGAAGGATGTTCTTCAATTCTTAGAAGATAACAGTAATTTTTAAAATCATTATTAGATACAAACCTTCTTTGTAGATTACATCAACGTCATGACCAAAGCTTTCAACATGATTTCACCAGTAGATTATGAAGCTTGCCAATACACACCAACGTTCTCTGGAGCAGGAAAGTAAAATGATTTCAATGTTATATTTGTTTTGAAACCAAAAATGTAATAATAATGCTAATAATAATAATAAGAAAAATAAATAGTTTCAACCAAATTAATTTACCTTAAAAGTCAATGGCTAAACAGGGACGGCAAATGATTTGCTGGAACTCAGAAATAAGAAATACAAGAGATGGAAGCTTACTTCTACTGTGTCGTGGTCAGGTGAAGTGGAAGAGTAACATAATATGAAAAATAGAATCAAGAACACCATGTCAAATCTTTGAAATGTTATTATATGAATAAGAAAAATCATATAAAGATGAAGATGAAACGAAAATGT